CACTCTTGAACTCTGCACTTTTAAAAGTTTGAATACAGAGTGCTGGACGGAAAGAAGGGAGACCAGGCCAAGCCGATGACGCAAATCCGCTTGGGTGAATTTATATCTCAAAATAATATAAATGGACACATAAAATGCTCTGATCACAACATCACGAGACAGTCCCACGCGTATAAGTTCTCCCAGTTAAAACTTTAATTTATCCCATGATTTCCTTCCATTCGGGTCATTTTGTGTTTTTATTTTGTCGCTTCTGGGGTTCGCCTCCGGTTCAATGTGGGGGCGTGAACCCAGTAGGGGTTAGTAAAGCATGTCTGTTGGTGCATGGCACAGCACGTACATGTACGTGTACATCATGGCCTGGCATGTTGTACACGTAAACATGTTACACAATGCAGCATTACTGCGTGTAACATAACATTGTGAGCGCAGCCCACTCATGTCAACTTGCTGGTCAGTTGCCATTGATTTCCTATGTCAATGTATCGGTTGGCGTGACTGTCGGCTTTCACGAAAGGTCGTGGGCGGGTGGGTTGCCTGTAACTTCGGGAAACCTTCACCATCGTGCCGGTATATGGTATGGACTTTGGGAGGTATTTGCATTGCTATTTACGTCCGGACATGTTTCGCTGATGGAAAAAAAAAAGAAGTCAGAAGGAAACTGTGTCAGACTTTTTTAATCAGCTCAAACTGGACCATAGATTTGTAGACAATGGCGACTGGGAGCACGTTTCCTATTTGTGTTAAACTGAGGCCCCATGTGGTGAAAACACGGGACTTAAATATCAACCGACTAGACAGAAGGAAGACTGGTAAACTGATCTGTTTGTAACAGATGTCTGCGAATAAGCAATGAGGAATTGATAACGATATCAGTGGAGTTGGCAATGCCTGATAAAGGAAATTGCAAACTTTAAATACAAATAAATCCCCCAAGATTCCCAAATCCGGGTACACAGGCGGACAGTTTATTCTCCATTCAAAACTCAAGTTGCCAGCAAGGACAACTGTTTAGAAATTAATGACGTTGGGACTCCATGAAAGGCGTCCACTGATAGGCATGCTGGAGCCAATTCAGCATATTGACAAATCCTCAGTCATTATTATGGTTCGAAACTTTCCGCAAAGAAACTTTTGTGTGACGGCTGCTGCGGCGTCCGGGCGGCCGGGTCGGCTTGGCGTAGGGACGCGAATCATGCAAGGGGTGACGCGATGTTCAGCGTGGCTTCTGGCTTAACTCTAGATCGACACCAGTGTGTTCCACCGGCACCATGCGCTGCACGTCAGGCCGGGCTGGGTAGTGAGGTAGGCGCCACGGCCTTTAAACAAGACTGAGGCCAGTTGGGGACTGGCAAACATGGGATTTGGGTGCGTTATTGTGTCGCTGGTAGCGTCGTTTGGGAGCCAAAAACAAAACCAAGACCCGAGCTCCCTTATGGCCAGAGTCACAGACAAAGTTAAACAATGCACTCTTTTCTTCGTGTAAAACTGTATTGATCCGTGGGTGGGGGAAATCCTGAATGTAGCCGGGAAAATTTACCTGAGGAAAAGGCAGGGCACGCAGCTCTGCAAACAAACCTAGAGTGCGCGCTGAAACCTACCAAGGCCACTTCACAACACGCATGCATTGCACCGTATCTGTGGGCCTACTGCTGAACAAATAATATTAAGTTGGACTTTGGTTGAGTCAACCACTCTTAGGCAAATCCCTCCCCGTTCGCCCCTAAATCCAGGAAACAGTTTGAAATCTCGACAACTGTAATTTCCAAAAGCCTCGAATCATGCTTTAAAAACTCAAAACTCTGCAAAATCAAGGCAAGAAATAGATCTGCATGGAGTGACCGAGTCACGAAAATGAAACTAAACTGGTCGAATGAAAAAAAAGTCATGCTGGTTTTTTTTCCAGAGAACTGTGCCACAAAACAAGCCTCACATCGGCCAAACTTCCACACACTTATTAGAACGCCAATCGAAAGTAAAACACCAAAACGACTTCTGATGCCAGTTGGTTCTGATCTTTTTACCGATCACCTACGAATGTGCTGACCTGTTTTTCCTCAAAAGAAAGTACGTTGAAAAAGGGGAACCGATGTTTGCTGAACTTTGGAAACTCTGATCACGAGTTCTGCTGGCCTGGGTTGATAGCGTGTGTCTGAGTACAGTACATGTGCGTGTACATTGTACGATGGATACGCAGGGTGCCTTGGGTACTCTCACAGAACATGAAGTCGAGAAATGTGGTCATGAGTGAGTGTGACAATCTTTTCTGCCTGACAAGAACGCAGAGTTCCCTCGAAGCCACTTGGTGCCTTTTTAATGACCACCAACATAAAGAATGCAATTGCAGTGAACCGAAATTGCAAACATCACGTTCGGTTTTTCCAAGTATGTTCGATTTCAGGGGCCCTTGGAAAAAAAACGAGCCCATCACTACATGTATGTCACGCGTGGGGTCCTGTCATGAATTGTGACAAACTTTTGTTCGAATTCATTTGAAAGTTGCAGAGAAAACGTATATACAAGCCCATCTGCTATGAGCCGCCACCTTTCTCGACGAACAATTGATGTGAAACAATTTTTTTCCCCAGAGCTCGCCTCGTCCTTCGGAAACTTAAACGACAATTGTTGTAACGTGACACAAAGGATTTGGCTGGCTGCCGCGACCTTGTATTGTTCAGCATTGTTCCCTTCGTGGCGCGTAGGCAGGCTCGACGCGCGTGGGAGTTGGATGGAGCATGCTCCGAACGAGATGGGAGGCCTGAAGTACAGAACTTGGCATCCACGGTTGGGTGCGGGGGCGTTTGTATGTATACAAACTTTCTGGACACCCTCCAAAACTTGCCTCGAGAAAATGGCCACCGCAAAGCTGGTTTTGAGAGGTCACGGCCCCATGAAGTGGCGTGACACGCCCCATCTTTGGCGTCAAGATGTCCCCTAAAAGTGCAAAGTAATTTCATGAGGTGACATTCCATCGGTTACCTCATTAAATTATTCTCGCCTCTTGGACCTGAACATCCCGTATGTTCGTCACATCATGAAATTCTAAGTATGGCTTCACGAATATCGTATGTAAAGCTTTCGTTTTATACGGCACCAGATGGGCAAACCGCTACACGCGTGGAAGCATTTCGAAACACTCGGTCTCAACGTTGCGACAGCAGTTCCCACTGCAAGTAGACTATAGATTTTATTTCCAGGAAAGCAGTTTCAAAGAATATACATAACGTGACTGTCAAAATGTCAAAACATCCAGGCATTCGAAACCTTGCAGTGGTCCATTACAGGACGGTATTACACGATGTTTTTACACGCACAGGGTTGAAAGCGTTCAGAGACGAGAGAAATGAAATCTCTATGTCACAACCACACTTAGCAACTAATCCCTCACAGCATCAAAGCGAAGTCAACAGGTGAGTCAACACTTCTCAAAAGGCCATCAAGTTTGAACTTTGAAACAGAAGGGACAGCAGGCATTGCATGCTGCGCACGGAATCAAAGTTTGCCTTGTTCACGTCGATTTTTTAACGTACTGTGCATGTACATGACGATCAACTAGATCGTGTGAATCGGGCACACCACAATGATTCAACTGCATCTTGAAAATCCTACCAAGCCGTCACTGCCAACGTGCAGAGGCCAGCGTGACCTTTGCTATATAAAGTCACGAGCCAAATTCATGAGAGAGGTCTTAACTTAAGAAGACGATCTGTGATATCCAACATGGGGCGCGTGATTGAAAAAAAGAATGTACTGTAAGCGATGAGTAAATTAATTCGACCATGAACTTCTAACCAAGAGAGTTAATGTCTGAGAAATAAAAAAAAATAAGCCGCTTCAGGACCTATTATAATTGTGAGTTGCAGCCTGATAAATATTATGCGCGACTCGACATGTTCATGACAGGTCGTTGGCTTTGGCCTGTGTGTTTAAACTTGTGTCCGTTCTCTCTTTTCTCTAAGCAAGTTCAACCAGGAATTTCACTGCAGGTAAGGAAAGACCGGAAAAGGTACCTAGACGTCTACAACGGAAGAAGAATACCCCAGCGGATTGCAGAGGACACAACCAGGCCCGGCAACTTCAGCGAAATGAGTAATTGCAAAGCCGTTCAGTTCCCTAGCGGAATGGGAGGTACAGTGACTCATTCTTTGCTGGGATAGCCCTTGGTCCGACTCGACCTTTTTTTTACCTATGCATCATGGGTAATCGTTGGCAATGAGGGTTGCTTCACAGCAGTTCCCAACTAAAATAGCGACAGATCTCTGGAAGGGAAGCTGACGCCATACGTGTAGCTTGCCAGACTGTGTCTCAGAGTTCAACCCCCCCCCAAAAAAAAGTTCACGGGGCCAGCGACCTTATGACCCGACACAACGCCAGAATTAGGTTTTCCTGTATTCACATTCAGACTTTTGTAAAGCCTAAACGGATTCCCTCCGTCAATGTCCAAATCAAGTGGCTGCGGCTTTGAGCAATACACGTACCTATGAGAAGTGGCTGCTGCCACTGAGCCAGCGGCTCCTGTCGGCACACGTGTTACTTCGGTCGAAAAGTTTTCGGACACAGCCTGAGCTGGGCAGAGTTGTTGATCTCAAGTGATGTGACTTGGACTCGAATCGGGGTCGAGTCGGTAATTTTCTAGGGACTTGTTACTTAACTTGTAACTACCAGCTCTGACTTATGACCTGACTTGGACTGGCAACAATTCTGGAGCGGGAGTCATTCATTACGGGGTTACTAGTTGCATCGTGGATATTGCAAAGCGGTGTGCTGCACACTTCGTCTCCATTATTTGGTCAGTGGAGATGTGAGCTCAAGATACGACCCCCATCCGACCAATCGCTCGACAAAAAAGTGTCACAGACGAAAACGGTGAAAGTCACGGCACCATTAAAAACCCTCAGCATATCAAACTCTCGTTGCTTAGAATTTGACCTCACATTTCCCAATTGTTGGCAGGCCATTTAGTTTTTAACAAGAGAAGCTGTCCTCCAGCTCGGTCTTACCTGCGTCTCGCTCAAAGTTTGCAAAGCTTGCATTAGCGTCTGGTCTTGTCGCTGTGACTGCATCATGATAAAAATACAATGTGTAGAAAATGCGTAATTATACAGGTTTCGACATCGTTACTTGCCATCAATCACCCGGCAGGCAGGTGCTGCATATGGACTGAGAAAATAAAAATCATTGGTCATCTTCATGATTTCACTGCGCGGCCTGACACGCTTTATCGCAAGTCACCAAAACATCTGGTAACTGCATTGCAATATCGAGGTGTATGATAAAAGGCAAGATTGGAAAAAATATATATGTATATTCACTTTATATCATTATCGACATCTCTCAGTTGAGAGAAATCGAAAAAATGAAAAGGCGCACAATATTTTTAGTTTATACAGAAGAAGAAGCTTTATTAGTCTACGGACAGTGCATTACATACTTCCAAAAAATCCTCTCCCGCCCCCAACAAAAAAGAGTTGAGAAAATCATATCAAACAAGGACGTTTAACATTTTCTGCACTTTTAAAGCAATGAAATTTCTACGAAAGGTCAAACGGTTATACAAGGCTTTATTGGGAAATCCAGGGGCCCTTGTTAAAATCTTACGCAAAATGAAAATGTCATGGGAAGTAACACGTGTATTGCTGATTACAATGCAACAGCTGGAACTGTACAAGTGCACACTTGTTAGCTTTCTCGTAAAGCATGCACTTCGCATTATCAGCCTGGTGCACAGGGCGCTGTATTTGTGTGACGACAGAGTTACCATAGCAACACTTACCACAAGCCCACTTTCAACCAATGGAAGAAGCGTTAGTTTGCTGCCGTCCGTGACGAGGTTCTCCTCAAGCGTCCCGCGCTTGAGATGCCTGGAAAGAACCGAGGGGAAAAAACCATAGCAAATTGTCAGCATGCATGAATTGGAATGAATGGCAGGCACCCTGCTGGTAAGGAAATTCCAGCATCCCCGAGGCTAAACTGCGAGTCTGATCGTGATGTAAAGTTTGGTGAACAGTGCACACTTCATTATTACGTCTATGAATAATACATTGTCGCTTGGGATTTGGAAAATGTCAAATTCTGCTGCTTTTGACGGCTGAAAAAATCCCAGCTGTCGTTTATCATCAAACATTCATAAAATTTTGATGAACACAAGGGTATTATTGTCCTACGCATACTCTCGGACTGCATTGCTATTATACGCTTTGGCAAGTGACGGCAGGAAATCCATGACTATTCGCTTTTGTGGTTGCGACATTTGACGAGGTGAACTGCGTGGAATGTTGGATCATGGTTCGCGGTCAGTGCACACGGTTTATTGGGTCGACCGACTGGCCTCGACCCCTCAAAAGCGGGGAAACGGGGCCCCGAAGCTCTTTTTTTTTTAATGTTCAGTTCCTTGTGCTGGCTCCTGACTCAAAGCAGCGAGCCAGACAATGGATTTGAAACTCAGCGGGGATCAGCCACCCCAAATCCGGTCGTTTCTGGACGCTCGTCTGTTGGGAATTCGGAATCTGAAAGAAATCTCGTATTTGCTTCACACGGATCGGGATCTCTATCAGAAGCTCCAAGGCTGGTTCGCTCCATCCATTCCACGAGTTCTGGTGTCTGTGAACCAACGACGGGTCACTGATCAAGATCTGGATTTGCATGAAACAAAAAAGGCCCGATTGTTTCGCGCGGATCCGGATCGCGATCAGTGAGTCGAAGTTGGTTCACTAACGCCAGATCCTGGGTAATGGATGGCGTGAACCAGCTTTGGGATCACTGATCGCGATCCGGATCCGTGTGAAACAAAGGCCGCGTTTGTTTCACACGGATCTCGATCAGTAATCCCATCGCTGGTTCGCTCCATTCAATAGGCGAATTTTGGTGCCAGTGAACCAACGGCGGATCACTGATAGCAATCCCGATCCGCGTGAAACAAACTGACCTCAAAAGTGGCCATGGCCCCAAATAAACAGGCCTCAAGTTTGATTCAATTACACTGGTCTGACACAAGGCTGCGGCACTCTCCGAATGTCTTTTCAACAGACACTAGTGGTGGGAGGTTGTGAACAACAGGAGCTGAAAAAAAACTCTCTCCCTTTAATATGGATGACAGAATGAAAAATTGGAGAGCCACGTTTTACTGTCGGTAATGCAGGTCTCACAATCCAACGCACAGACGACCACCATGATTATAGACCCTGTGCGTTTATGGATAATATTGTCCCATGCATGTGTAACTGCGAAAATGCTGTCTGATACACCACCCCCACATGCGCCATGTACGCGAAACGGCCTTCAAAGTTTAATCAAACACTTTCCGGGAACGTAAGTCATCCACGACACGGCCTACTTAAACCTTTTGAACTCATTTACAATACTGACAACTAGACAGCAGACGGCCAACAGAAACGTGTACAAAGGCAAGATACCGGTAGCTCTGTTTGGTATAATGCAGCATTGCAGGGTTGATATACAAGTACAGTTAATAATGCTGGGCTGCAAGTTCAAATCCTTTTCTTTTTCGATTTTTTCCATTTGCTCAATCTCAAGTTGATCTATCATGACCTATTTCAAGGACGACTAGTTGCATTTGTGGTCCTTCCAAAGGAAAGGCTTACGGACCAGTGATAGCGAGATGTGTTTTTGCAGCAACAAATGCGGATTTCCCGCGTTCGCAGCTGATAAACCGCGCTCTAAAAATACAGGCGCTGGACCCATTTTTAAAACTCATCTCCGTGCGTGTAGCTAGATACGCGCATGGCTAAACATACTGCACGCATTATCTCCCCAGCTTCACTTTAGTATTCAACTCAGCGAGGAAAGTATACGGGATATATTTTTCAAGTACGATTAACAAAAAAAAACCCGTCCGTCCGTGGATGTATCAACAAATGAGCATACGACTGCACATTATCTCATCATAACATGAAAAACCAACTTGCGTGCCAGTTTGGAATGAGCACGGAGGTAGGAAAAAGAGGGTTTTTTCCGTTCCCCGCATACCTCACGCGAATTGATGTCACCACGGGACAGGAATTACAGATATACCAGTAGTGTGGTTACATAACAGGATGACGTGGGCCAGGAGAGCTGTGCCGATGATGTGAGATGGGACAGAAGCGAGGGCATAAAAAGGACCGCATACAACGCTTGACTTATCATTGGCCCGTTCTCTCGACGTAAAACGGGGGTGCTCGCCGATCAGAAGTTTAAAATCCCCTGTGACTGGAAATTCGTGTAATGGCGACTTGGAATGGAAAAAAAAATCATTTAATTTCCGGGTCTTTCTTTTTAATGTCAGCACTACCATGAACGATTCGCCGTTTCAAAACGGCTACACGGCACACTCCCGGAGCATCAACGACACAAGAAACTTTGGAACCTTTGGAAGATAATGTTATCACGGCTGACCTTTAAACATTATTGAGGGGGTGGAGCAGGCACCCAAGGTTCCCGTATTTCTAAAATCCTGGCGTAGCAACACTTTCTGGAAAGGCTCTAATTTGACACGGGCCACCCGACACCAAACGACACTCTAACCCCAGTGTCAATTTCCTCTAATAAGTTCAATAAGCCCCTAGCTCTGACACGATGAGACTACCTGTTTACTGCATGGAGGCTAGGATCCCCCCGGTTTTCGCAGGCAGCGACGAGGTTCAAGGGTCAGTGTTCACGACCTCTCTCTAATGTCAACTTGCGCTGCACGTCAGACTGCAGTCCGGGGGATTTTTTTTAGGGATACGAACATGGGGTGAAAGTGTGTGAGTTTATTTTGGCATATCTGGAAATCTGGAGACCCTAAAGCTTTGGTTTGACCTCAGAATCCTGGAAGTTAACATCATGGGTCACTGGCTTTATAGGCTCACTGTACTGCAGAGCATGCGTGATTTCCTCATCCCATTCACTACCAAATATGCACTTGAAACATGATCCCGAGTTCCCCGTTTATTGCAAGTGCTGACATGAGGAAAACGCAGTACAGTAGGATGGACGACCCGCATTAATTCCATCACGCAGTTTACATCTGACCTCGTCACTTTAAACTTGGAAGGGGGGGGGTGTCCAACTCTTCAGAATATATGGAGATTCAAAGACCTAGGTTCACTGTCTTTTCATTGAATCCATGGTTAGTGAAACCAACAAGGTGACTTGGACACAGCAGGCCATCGACCACATTAAGAGAGAATGAGTTGAGGTTACTCAGCGGTGCCTCATCAGGAAACACTGCACAGCGCGGGATGACAGTCTCCGGACTCATCTCCTCATCAATACCAACCGCTTGCATCCGCAGTCCGCTCTCGCTGTCTCATCTCATTCATCCACAGGAGAGTGAAAAAAAAAACACATGACCATCGCTCGATCTATAGATCTTTGCTTTTGGCAATCGGCCACCGGTACGGTTCGGAATGACGGAATGGGCCGAGGTCACCGCGCACGCGCAACGGAGCCCCCAGTAAACTGCATGCACAAGGCACGCGTCGCATAGGCTTCATCTCCAGATTTCACCGCCAAAACGATTTCTGAATTTTATGATAGGATCGCAATGCTACAGTCTTCCAAACAATGATCTGCAAATCAGTTCTTCTGAATGCTACATTTACAAACATCTCATTACATCATACATGTACATAAAGTGTGTCAAAGTATTAAGGTCACATTAATCGACTCATGCATGTGTTAGTACTGGCACTTGAAGGACTTTTTGTCATCACACAATAATAACCGGCAATCGGGAAAATGTGAACTATTTAAGTTCACATTTCAAATAAAAATTAGCCTGATTAAAAAGTCGAATCGGCTATATGAAATTATTCAATGGTAGGTCTAACAGTCACAATTAGTTAAAACATTTCCTTGAAACACAGGTGATAAAAAGTAAATGAAATCTTCCTTGAAGGCTTGAGCTTTTGAGCCCTAAACCATGTCAACCGTTCAGAAACATACAACAGAAATGCAACAGCGGAAGGCAGAACTTAACAGGTAATGGTCCTGTTATTGACGGCATCTTGTTACAACTGTGCTACTCCAATATCATTTTACTGGTAGACCTACGTGCACAGTACTGCCCTTTCACGTCATACATGTACAATGTACAGTACATGTACTGTACTTGCTCCATCATCTGATCACGTACATGTACAGAACATACCCGTGTTGTGCTCTAACACGTGCACACTCTCCATAGTGTACATGTACGTGTACGTCCTACACAATGAGCTTTACTGTATGGGTACATGTACCATGTACATGTACCATGTACAAGTACTGATGGCATTTTGCAAGTGTCCCGTACCTCCAATACAAACAGTGCCGAGCTACGAGCATGGACACTTACACAATGCTCTACGCTCTACGTGAGTGCGTGCGGACACGAATGATGAATATGCATCGCAGCACGAACAGTGCAGAGGCACCAAGTACCCTAACTACCTCACTCTGGGCATTGCTGGGTCTTTCACATAGCAGAAAAAAAATTATCATTGGGAAAACACATCGCATGCATTACTTTACATCAAACTTTATACGCACGTATAGTCGTAGACGCATTGTTTGCAAAAGCGTCTACCTTGTCTGGTAAATGAACAATACTCACGTTTCACGGTGCAGCAGTGTTAGCCTTTCCTTGGCTATTCGAAGTTGCTTGGAAATTTTGGTCTTGAGCACATCAACCGATGCGTGCCGGGGTATTTCCACGGTAAACCTGCCACCGGTGGTTGGGTGGATATGCACGGTCAGTAATCCATGGTTTGAGCTGGTGGAGGTAGGAGCTTCCATACCGAGGTTGACAGCCATGGTAGCTGGACCTGAGCAGGGATCTTCGGGGTAGATCGTGTGTGGCATGAATGGACCTTCTCGTGAAGTGGTCACTTGCTGTGATATACAGCCGTGCAAGAGAACTGAACTGACCCGCTTTGCGTCACCGCACCACGCACGGTCAATACACGCCGGGCTGCCGGGCCGGACGACGAGGACGCAGCTTGCTAGAGTTGATTCATCGTGGGTGTGCTTTGAGTGCCAGAGAACCCTCACAAAGAGAGCTCAGTATCACTTGTAAATTGCTGCAAAAATGTTACAGAGGAGAGAACTGTCAAACAGTGTACGGAGATAAATAAGGCACACTGTGTGGCGAACGGTACGGAAGGGCCAGTCCGTACGAATGCTGAGCGAACGCTCTCAATGAATGAATTGCTTCGTACGCGACGATGAAATAAACTCGGTACAGGGTCATGTAAGTGGGAGGGTCACATACATAATTGCGCTCTTAAGGTCAACAGCCGCCAATGGGAAACTTAGACTCTTCCATCTCTTGTCGCTTAGGGGTGTCACGTACATGTAGTAAATGCCAACTGCTACAAATCACGTATTCCAGGGACAGCTCGTGACACAAACGACACATTGTAAGGAGATTTGTTACTTTCTCTCATGGTAGTAATTTAATAACAGACAGGCCAAGGAGGAAATACATGTACTGTACTTGTTGCCATAAATGACAATAAACAAAGCAAGGACTGTTAAAGTGCCTTTTCTTCCAAAGGGCAATATGCCAATTGTCAAAAGTAACTTCAGGGTGTATTGTGTAAGTACAAATAGGACTTTACGGTCTCATATTAAAGGGTGGATTGCAAATTCAGACCCAGGCGGGCGAGCTGACTGGACCGCTCACTATTTGGATATTTTAACATCCCTATAATTCTGAAAGTCGCTGCCAAATTTAGTAACTGGCTGTAAATACTTCGCTGTCATATTTATGCATGCTCATACGGTCGGCTTCTGTGCATGCATCTGTCAGAAACTGGGACGAAGAAAAGATACAAAAGTTTCCATCGTGACTCCCGGCGTTTTTACAGATTCCAGGAAAAGCCCAGAGAGGCGGATAAAACAACTTGCAGTCAGACCATGGCGAGGAATGTCTTCATATTTCCTTTACAATTGTGTAACTTTGTTGAAAACTACCTCAAAAGAGCCGGATTTGTGATCCTATTAAAAAATGATTTCTTACTTAAAAAAATTGAATATTTAGTCACACTAACTGAAATCGCAATGCACAGTAAAATCTTATCAATTGAATAAAGATCAAATTTCCAATGGCATGAATTCCTTTTCCAGGCTTTTTCAATCCGATATTCTAACAAACACTTCACTGTAAGTTGCCTGGTACACTGTTTCAGCTATATAGCCATTAAATTAGCATACAAATTCAGAGATACTTTTTACAGAGACATCTAATACGCTGATCCGCAGGTCTACGCCAATCAGCAGGCATCTGCCAAAGGCGACAGAGTCAGCTGACAGCTGTCAACCAATCAAAAAGCATAGTATCTTTTTCGCAAATAAAGATTGAACAAACTTTGCTCGCGAGCATTTACGGTTCCTTTGGAATGAACTAAGTTGCCTAGGCTATGTTTTTGTAGTTAACAGAGTGAATTTAGTCTCACTGTGATAAAAAAGGTACAGCCAAGCAGAAAAGGAATCCAGGGTTTCATTCCAGAGAACACAGAAGTTACACAAGCCAAGTGGCACATCTTTGTTATCTTTAAACATTTAATGAAAAAGACGGAGCACTTTACAGCACGTTGTGCCAATTCTTGTTTTACTTCAGGTAAGGCTGTGTTTTTTGAAAGACACTTTTATACATAAATAATCAAAGGTGATATTGCTCCTTTAAAGACGGCGGAGTGGGCATTAGTGTCGTTAACAATAATAGCTTCGGTGACGTTTTGGATACATAAGGATGTTATCTACCAGTTTAAACACCTCTTTCTTATGTACCAATTCAAGCCATTGCTAAAAAGTCGTGACAGAATAAAGCAGTCCATAGAAACTCTCATTTTGCTTATTTTTAAAATTAAGAAAAACTTTTTACACTTCTTATTGAGCTGTTCTTCAACACCGTTCAACAAGCAGGTATAATTTTTATAAAGTAACACTTGGAGGTTTCAAAATAGTACTGTACTGGACATACATTTTTTTTAATTGGGTGAATTCAAACACAGGTGCGCCGTATGTTCAAAAGGCGAGTTTTTTTTTTTCGAGTGGGAAAGGCACCAGTCCCTCTCTCCCTGCCAAGGTAACCTTAAAAAATCCTCCCCTGCTAGATAATGAACCCGTCTGAATTCAGTGTTATTGTTCGGCGTCCGTCCGCCTAGTTGCTATGACGTCACAGCAAGGCACCACCCCCTCGCTCTCTGCTCAAAGAATGTAAATAGTGCGGTGTGCATTGTGTGGTCGATGTCTATCTAGTGAGCACATGTAGTGTACATGTACATGTACATGTACAGTACATACATGTATTGTACATGTACATGTACAGTACATGTACATGTACACCGTACTGTACAATACATGCAAAGCTACGCTTGTTTCTGTACTGGTCGACACACGGTGAGGTACGGCATATGCATGAGGTGCATTTAATCGGGCTCCGCTCAGTCTCTGCAAGTCCCCCCCCAAAAAAAAAACTCGTCATCTTTCCGTGGAAGAGAAATATTTGCCTTTTTAAACAACCAAAACGTTGTTGTCGGTGTTGTTGCGTTGTCTGGAGGTTTTGTTTGACGGTTCACTGGTGACACTGCGTCATCAAATACCATGAAATCCAGTAACACCAAAATAATTGGGCATAAACTGACGGCAATAAAAACTGTAAACTATCTTCTGATTCGGTGTCCCCACCCACTTTCTGTTAGAACACATGATCCGTATTTCAAATCGTGTTGATGAAGTTTCAACCAAAACAGTGTGCAAACAAATCAAGACGTCGAAAGCAGGCTAATGTAATAAAAATGTCAAGCGAGGTGGAAAAAGAAACCTCTTCAGTCCTTCAACTAAAATCGGACTTGGGTATGTACTGCTTTGGGTATTGTCCTTTGAGATTATGGACGAGCAGTCTCTAGGGAATCATAACCATACATTTATCGTAAACCATCAGCACTTTTATTTACAACATGATTTTGTATGATACAGGGAAAAAGTCATTTGAGATATAATTCCGAACACAGTCGTATCATGTGCAGTTGAATTAGATCAACATAATGAATTCTCTAGCTTTCAATGATGACGGCAAGGCTAGTTAGTCATCCACCTGTATCAAGTAACAACCGGTTCTGGGGTTCACTAGAAACGAACGATGCAAGGCACGGTCTTTGGAAATGGCGTGTCCGTTAAGATTACACAGCGGCGTACTGTCTGTACTGAAGACGTAGCCTTGACCAGGGTAAGTTGCTTGTAAAAAAATATACTGCCATGTTTGCTGCCAAACTACCCCGATTGGGAATGTGCACCGAATCACGGAACAGCTGTCGCCATTCTATCGGTTTTGCTTTGGCCGTTTTACACCGGCCAGGTAGCTAGACTCCACATCCAGTCTGAGACCTCGACCCAACGCGTATGTCATAAGGAAAACAGGTACGGGCCAACAACAAAAGATTGAATAAAGCCAACTGTTCGTGGGTGAGGCATGCGTGTTTAGACTTATGAAATGATTCCCCGTGCACGTTTCCTGATGATGGTATAATTTTACTCTGTACAAGGACGAAGCTCAGACCAGGGAGCAAACTAGTTAAAGCTCGTCAATAATAAATAGAGGAATATTCTTGGAAATTCGGAGACAGGTAACAGCATCGCCCACTGACAATCGACGTACTAATCCAGTAACGCAGCTAATGAAGTTATTATAACCCGTGTCTATATACGCTAACTGATGGCTAACCTGTGCCTGGTTATTTCAGAAAAAAGTGTCATTGTCGGATACCCCTGCCTTGAGGTGAAACCTGAACGCATCTGCCACGCAGCAACCGTTCGAACCAGCAATGTCGTAAGTCATTCATCAAGTGGTCCGGGTTCGATTCCCAGCTCGGTCTAAAAGTGGATTTGGTTTTCAGTCCCCACCTAATTCCGTGGGTTTTACACAGAATATTCCTCTGATGTTTTTTTTTCCCACCTCCAAAACTGTAACTTCTTCTCATTGTCTCCTCTCTACAGGTTTCTTCAGCACAGAGCAATACATGTCATGCGTGTCGAAGATGATAGCTGCATAATGGCGCACCAACATGACCAAATTAACCAACCATCACCAGTTCAAATCAGGAGCACATTTGAATCTCCTTCCTTCTGGTGTTTACCTTCCCCAGTCTAATATCCGATGTAGTTTATGCCTAATGCTGTGAGATTGTCCATACTAAGCGAGCAAAGTAACCGGTCGCACACTGGGCGGTGTTGACATTAATAACTACTCGGAAAATTGCACGTCACCACTTTTATTAATTACAAAGATAATTTCTCAGTAGAAGTGGATTTTTCGCAAATATGCTCAAAAGGTTGAAATATTATTGTCATCGTTCACGCTCGACACAAGCAAAGGACAGATTCGATCTTGCGGTTGCATAACTATATCGCTGGAAAACCGTTCTGTTCAAAGAAATTTAATGAACTACAACACTAAATTCTCGGAACATGCAATCATGAGTAAAACATTGGTCTTCCGTTCGAGAAAGATTAGAAACAGTTTGTCACCAGAAAATTGCTAATTGGAACATTTTTTTTCTCTAAGAACCCTGCAACGATTTAAGGTGAACGGAGCGTCCCGTTGTACTGTCCATTCAGCGAAGAACCAACGGTATTCATATTACCCAAGAATGACTCACTCTGCCCCAGAGCTAATGGACCACGGACTGCCTAGCAACGGACAATGACGTCATGAGGGAAGACTTCCGCTGCCATGGCAACCGGAAACGGTCGAGAGGGCCTTGGGAACCGTCTCTGCTTTCACAGTGCGCTTCAAAGAAATCGGGGGGAGAAGGGGAAGGCCGTGTGCTACAGTCATGATAGGGAGAGCATTCTCTCCTGCTAGCTCCTCTCGCTGCATGCTTTTTTTTCCCTCTTTCTTGAGCCATCTCACTTTCATGGCGCAACAACAATCGGAATTATGAATGGCGCGCCCGCGTGAAAGGGATGAGTTCCGTATTTCTTGTCTTCATTCTTCCTTTTGAAAGCCGGAAACGGTTGAAACTTGGCCGAACTTATCTATATTTGACTACAAAGACGCTTCTGGAGCGCCACTCTAAAATTAGGGACAGTTCGGGATTTGCATGTAATTGGTGTTATTTTAAAATGGGTTATGATAAGCTTGGTTTTGTTCGCTTAAAGGGACGTTTCTTGCCATAAAGGATCACAGCAATTAGAATGAATACACAGATGATTGATTGGTTAAAGTGTTAACTGACAAATTTTTGCAAAAAGTGCTGGGGGTAGGACATGCAGACTGTTCTCACGCGACGAGGCAGGTCACGATATACGGAATGCTAGCCATCATTGACCAAAATGAAATTATTATGGGTATTTGAAATTAACGGTTTGCTTGGTATATCCAAAGCTAATCTAGTAGAGGTCTTGCATTATTATCGTGAATTGTGGGCTGAATTGGAATTGTTTATCGCCCAATACGGTCGATTCACAAGAGTGCGCCTCCAAGAGTTTGTAACGCGTTGACCAATCACAACGCGCGAAATCTGTCGACCCTTTTGAAACGTGCATTGGGTCGACAAATTTCGCGCATTGTGATTGGCCATAGCGCTGCAAACTCTTGGAGGTGCACTATTGTGAAACAACCGTATTCTGCGAAAATGTACATGAAAGACAATCACAGTGATCCGTTCGTGCATTCAACAGTTCTTCACATCTTCACAGACTGAATTTTGTCTGTTGTTAATTCTCTTGTAGATCATACATAAAGTTGAATTTTACATCAGAGTGCTCTCTTTTGTCAATCATTTTCTGGGAGCAACTCAGACGGATGTAATGTGCTCACATTGGTGAGGGCATTTTTGGGCGCTGGTAAAATATAAACCGAGAGCTGGAATGTTCAGCCGATCCCTGAGTCAGTGCGATGCTTTCGTAATGAAAATCCTGGCAACCAGTCTATGGAATTTTTTCCCTGTCTCTCTGATTCTCTCCGAACTCTTCTTGGTTAATTTGTATGAACGAGCATTAAAGGGGGAATGCTCACTCGAGCTTGCCGGAAGAAGCCGATAGGTTTAATTCGAAAATGAAATGGACAGAGCCGGGGAACTGGAGAAAGGAGAAGAAGTATAAATGAAAGGAACACCAACGGACTAACTTCGAGGATGGAGAAAAAGGATTAAATAAATTGGTCCAACTGGCGTTATGGTTTGACTATTTCCTGTATCGGTTATGTTTATTTTTCCAGTGATAGATGTTTTGAAGTGTGGGATGCATATGCGGAGAACTGCACCGACAGCAAAAGTCTTCGTGCTGATGTAAATTTCACAAAATGAATTAAGGTCTTTCTTTTTTGACAGAGAAAGGGTACCGAAGTGGATCGCCTTGAAGAGAGTGACGCATTACCATGGACCTTTTTTATGATGCTGCCATGTTGGTCTTGCTCTCTGTAGACCCATTGGCAATAGTAATACAAAATTACATATTAATAAAAGAGAACAGACTATTTTTCCTTCCAGCCTCAGTTTGGTGTCATTGCGTTGAATGGTAGAAAAGCAAGATAACTGCCCCATGTGGAGGTCTGTGGCGACACATCCAACACACTATTGAAATCGATCACACTATTGAAATCGATCACACTATTGAAATCGATCACACAATGAGGATGGCAACTAACAATAAGCGGAATGATTATCTAATAATGCTGACAAATGACATTACTGCATCGTGCGCGCTATCTGGAGTGATTGTCACTCGCTGTACGTTGTGCGTCAGATCGTACTGGGGAATCTGTGTGGGTGAACTGGATCCCCCCCCATCCACCCACTCTAGTTTGCAAACGCTGATCGGGCGCTTGGACCGTTAACGGCGATGAATTAAGAGGAATTAAGAGCCGAAGTAACGAGGGCGGAGGCAGCGAGATATCTGGAGCATCTTCAGGTCTCTCCGATGAGAGACGAGATTTAATTGAAGGTTTGGCGAATAAAGTTACTGGCCGCACTCGTATCGCATAATGGAAATTAACCCAGAATCTCCAACGTTTTGGGGGCTATGTCGTCTTAGAAGGCAAGAAAAGAGTTTCTGACTATTATGTTTTCACCAGACTTGTAGGGATGAAATAGCTGTGTGAACAGGATTGAACCAAACGTATCTTTGGTAGAGGGTTGGGGCCGCTGGCCAGCGTGCACCTCATTTCCAGCCGTAAGCACAGTCTTTCCGGCTATGGTGTAAGCAAATAAGCCTGATGCAAAAAGATGACAAAAATTGAATTCTAAAACATTTTGTTTATGATCACTCCCACACTGTATGCGGTTTTTGGCTTGTTTGTTTTGTGAGTGGATACAAAACGGGTGGCAGGCCGGCGTATCACGAAACATTATGACGCACAGTTATGCGCCCCAAGCCGGACCAAGAGTGGGCGCATTTTTCCTAGCAACATAGGCTCCATTGGTGGTAACTGCTCGTCGCTGGTTCACGAACTACTATGAAACACAAGCGCTAGAGTTGCACCAACAAAATGAACACTTCCGACCGGAATGGCTCGTTTCAACCGATGAGGGGGCACTTCTACTCAAGGCAGATTATGCGCTGAATGTATCTGTCAATGACGAGCAGAAGGTGACGTGATAATTAAATAAACGTGCACGCCAGAAAGGGAACTTGAGGTACGGTTGAAATGGACCTCACTGAACCGAACTTTGAATTTCTAAAGTGCCGGATGCAAATAACCGGATTATGTAGCATTGTCCAGTAACGACGGACTGTAATTTTTCAGCCAATGCATTGACGTAACACTGCGTGATCGCAAGATGCCTTATCAAGGTATAGGCCTACAATGAAAACGTTAAAACGAACACCGTCATTTCGGTCATCTTTAGGCAGAAAGGATAATCCGTGAAAATGTCACGTGAAAGTCACCCGTCTGCCAAAAATTGTTTCCTATGATTAGAGGATCCAGTTTCCGTCAACGCAATCCAAATAAATGACTTAACCTTTCCAGGCTAAACATGGCATGGTCACGTATGTTTCTGTGTGTGTGTGGGTTTTTTTTCGAATAGCTTTTGTAATCCGCTATTCCGCACACAATTTGACACTTGCCTTGATGGACCCTCAATATCAAATACCAACTCGAAAGTGTTATGTGCACTGCAGGATGTCACTGCAACTAGTCCTCAGCTAGCCTAAGCTTATGGGTGTTGCCGTCGACATTCGGTGGGCGGATCGCGAGGTCCCTTAAGGGGAGAGGGCTTTTCTCACTAATCATCAGTGCATGATAATGTTGCCCAAAAAACCTCGTCACTGCAGCGCGAAGCGTCAGAAAGGGGGACCATTAAATGCGAACTGCGTGAAAAGAAATTTGTGTGAGTCGCATGCATTTTCCTTCCATGGCAGCTACGACCTGGAGATGATGATGTAAACTCTAGCCATCATTTTGAGGCGTATTTTTCAGACTCCGTGGCCCTTTTCCAATACTCGACTTGGGCTCCGTCTCGGGCTTCGTTCCCAAAACCAATCCCCGATTGTGGGCCTGAAGCGTTTAAATTAAATTTGATTACTGTAATTCCTGGCTCTCTTGCATCGTATTTGATGTTTTGTGGCACCATTAAACTAATTGCTGCGCTTACAGCTTCAACGTCAGCTAGTTAAAAAACAGTTGAAGCCTGAGACAGAGCCGAAGTTTAGTATTGGAAAACGGCCCAGTTGTGTGATATGCCAGAGTTCACAAGGAGACGTAATGGGGGAAGACGTCAGCGCCTTGTTCCAAGGGTGCAGGCAGCACAGGAACGTGACCCAACCCATCAATATTGCCTCAGCTATAAACTCTCTGAAAAGCTGCCGCCAGCCGATGAGAGTGGTGCCGGTTGGCAAATGCCAGCATTGCAAAACTATCGGGAAAAGATACGACGGGGGAAAAAACAAACTGACACGATAAAAACAGTAGTATTTACAAAGGTCATGCTCGTAATACGCGCAGTCGGTGACCTCACAATCAACATCGTGACCGACTTGCATTTATCAATACAGTTGTACCCCCCCCCAGCTTTGACGGATAAGGAGATATTCTGTCCGCATAGGTCAGGCCATTTGCCTCAGAGTCAACTGCATGTACAAACAAACCCGTTGGCTCCCATATACTCCATGCAACACTGCAATTCCTGCAGGTTTAGTAAGAGTAAAACGGCAGTGCCTTTAAGAGGCTTATTGAGGAAACTACCGTGGGAGGGGAGTGACGAGTGAAGTTGTGAACATTGAAAATCCTTGTCAACCCCCGTATTCTCAAAGTTTTCTTTTTTTTTTGTCTGTCAACGACAAGGAAGATTGGCTCACACCACTTTGATATAGGGAGGACAGAGACCTCTGGAGGCCAATGAGAGGGTATCGCACTGTCTATTTTGGACAGCACAAAGCAGCTGTAGAAAATATCAAACACCTGGATCAAATCTGGTTGTGAAATTTGAAAAAAAAATGGATCCACGTAAGGATAGGCCGGTTGCCAACACGAGATTCTCGACCAGTCGGAGTGTAAGTTCTCTGGGCCGGTCACTGTAAAGATTCCACAGAGAGCAGTAAGACAGGGTAGTTACCTTGTGGCAAGGCCATAATAAAGATTTTGTTTAGAAAGGTAATCACTGAGATAGTGATGGACCAGATGCACATTGACCAATCAGAACAGAGGAAAAAAGATTTGGCGAACCAGAGCAGCCGTTGCTGCGTTCATAGGCCCCAAGAGGTAGAACCCCACTCAACACTCACTGACCACATCACACCAGTCAAATAGTAAACGCTTATGGAATTCATGGAATAGCTTTAAAAGGTCTATGATACACTAATGGAGAACAGAATTAATGTTGTATTACGTAATCATGAATCAACATTACAAAATAACAGAGCATTTCAAACGTTCAGTTGAATCTGAATGTAAAATCAACAAACTGAGATTGGGAATATCTTTAGCAAATTAAAAAAATAAATTACCTTTGTATGACAAAAACTCCTAGTGCAAACCACAAATTGAATATGAAAAACAGCCAGCGAGGGGAGCTCCTAATAAGGACTTGAAAATGTTGCAGGTAGCACGCGCCGAGTCGCTCTCTCCAGCCACGCGCCGGCCATTTCCTCGTATCCCCCACGTGTGCAGAAGCGCGCGATGCTCGTCTATCGCTACAGGCGTCCGGAAACCCAGCTCTTTTTCTTCTCTGTCTCTCTCGGCCTCTAATTATGCGGGAGTTTTTTTTTCTCACCGAGATGGAGCAAAAGAGCAGGAGGACCGAGGAATTCATGAATAGGAAGCGGGGGCGTCGAGTGAAAAAGTCCAGCGAGGTTAGGGCGAGCTGTGGCGGATATAGCTTCAGGAGCTGGTACTGGCCGGTCCGATCAGAGCGCCTGGACGAACCACGCAGCGAGAGACCAGCTGGTGATACCGCATCGGGCCTAAGTTAGTGCTGATTCACTGCGCAGCTCTACTTCTCGCTTGGGAGCAAAACGCCGATAGTGACCGGCGGTGCACCCCCGCA